TTGAAAGGAACCCCCCCCCCTGCTGCCACTCCCTCACCTATCGCCAAAAGACACATCAAAGTTCTCAATTCGAACATCGTAGGATTTGTTCTTTCCAGATGATTCCAACCGACTCTCCTTTCTGCTGCCTGCCTGGCTGGCTGATGCTTCTTCCAAGACTCTTTTAAAGGAAGAAATTGATGACTTTTGGCACTCCCAACCACCCTTCCATCCCTGAAGAGCCTGCTTTGCTCTCTTAACTCTTTTTGCTGAACTCACAGAGGGTTGCTGGTCTTGAGTGTGTCCTTCTCTGAGCGTTTCTCCTGCTTTGCCTTTAGTCGAGCCTCGGCCTTCTCTAGCTTCTTTGCATTCACTGTCTAAAGGTTCAAACAAAACCATTTCACCCTAGGGTGTAGACTCAGAAAAGAAGCCCCAGAGAGTGCACCCCAAGTTAACCCTCTAAATTTACCCATGATGAACACAATTAAAGACTCAGAAATCCCCCAGAAAGATATTCCGGTATTTAGAGATAGTCAGCTCCTACCCCAACCATAAACAGCCCCTTCCCTTTCTTCACCCTCCTCACCGAGGACTGTTCCCTCTTCAGCAGTCCTGGAAGGTTGGTGCTACAGTCTGTAGATGATAAGAAAAGCAGTCACCTTCTCCCTGAGGGAAGGGAAACTAATATTTTGAGTAACTAATATAAACCAAACACAGACATTTTCAGGAAAGCCTTACAATACTGAAAATGGATAGCTATCCTCCTCCCCGCACTTAAAAAAATATTTCAGATAAAAGATACAAGGTTGAGGCAGATAAGCAACTCTTATAAGAGCATGCAGTTGGTTAGTAAGTCACAAAATAGGGGGTGGGGAATGAGCCCAAGTTTGTCCAGCTCCAAAGCCCATATGCTTCCTACCATTGCCAAGAGCTTGGAGAACCCTCCAACCCTACTCCCTTCATCAATGGGCTCTTTTGCCTTCAGTAAAGACATCATCAACTAGCTTCTACAATCTTGTCCTATGGAAAAGAGGTACCAGGAGTTCTGAGCTCCAGGAGGCAGGTGGCTGGGGCCTTGAGGCTGAGAAAAAGGAGAGGGTAGCTAGTTCAATCTTCCCTCTCTCTCACCGTAGTTCTCCGTTATCTTTGACAGCTGGATGGGGGCGTCTAGCAGCACCTGGCTGTTTCCCTGGCTCTGTGGCTCAGCCCTTGACAGTAGGGACGGAAAGCGCAGAGTTAGGAGTTGAGGAAAAGCTCCATGGCCATTAGACCTCATTCCCTCACCTCCTGTCTCCTGACCGTCCTCCCTCCCATCTCCCCGCAATCCCCCTGCCCTGGCACGTACAGGCGCAGAGTGTTGTACATGCGCTGACACACGGCTCTGATGCCCGCGTCATCCTTGCTGTCCCCGGACACCTCTTGCAACAGTTCCCCCACAGCTTCCACCAGGTCGTCCACAGACTCGAAGTCCGCGCTGCCGCTGTGCAAGACGCCTGCGCCAGGCGTGGCAGGTCGAGATAGACACCGGGTAGGGTGGATATACAAGGAGTTTAGACCCATCCCGCCCTCGGGACAAGAGGTCACACAGAGGAGAGGCCTAGCAGCGGCCCCGGCACTGCCCCCTCTTAGTCTTTCCCACCCGACTTCCATTGTGGCTTCCCCAGCGCGTTGATTCAGTTGGGCTCACCCGTCACGTAGTCGAAGACCTGTCCGTCAATTTCGGGAAACTCGCTCCGCAGGATTTCAGCGCAAGTCGCCATGTTACAGCCGGGCTCCCTTCCGCGCAGTCGCCGTAAGACTCTGGTCAAGGCCCACCCCCTGCCCTTCCCCCGTAAGCTTGTCTCTCCTTTCACGGCGCACGCGTAGTGGTGACATCAGGCAGGCGCGGAGGGCGCGGCACCCGGTGGGCGGGGTGAACAAGACTGAAGGAACCGTGCGTAACCACCGCTCGGAGTCTAAGCCCGAGCTGCCCTCTGCGCTTGCGCAACTCTTTTTCCGCTGAAGAATTAGCCACATGTGCGGTCCTCGCTGTCTCTCGGAGGTGGAGATCCTGAAGGCGGGCGGGGTGCCGCGAGGCCGAGGAAGTCGTGGAAACCAAAGGTCTAGCGGGTGGGAACCTTCTGAGACAGGCGTTTGGTAAAGCATGTTGGTCTTGCTAGTCTGCGCGCCCAGGCGGGTCCATTTTGGAGCCAGCCGCGATCTTTGCTGGCTCATGCTTGTTCCTGAGCCCTCAGGAGCCCCTTAGGCAGTTCTGTAAAGCTGCGGTTTTTGTTACGGTTCCCAGCCTTTATGGGTTTCTTGTCTCAGCCTGGTTGCCCGCCTGCCCGTGGCAGGCAACTCAGTACAAATTATGCCTAGTCAGTCCTTTCACCACCCCAGGGCACAGCCTCACTCTCAGCCAAAGGGCAAGAAAACCAGATTACAACACTGCCTGGTGTAAATTCATTGGTATTTATTCTCTACCTAAACCCAGATTTCTCTGCAGCCTGAATCTCAGTAAATAACTAAAAGTCTACTTCCTTTCACTGCTTCTTTCAGGTGGAAGTTAATGATGCTACTGCTTTACATTTAACGTGAATACTCTTCCAACCCGGCTCTAAAATTATCACCTACATTAATTCATCCTTGTGAGGAATGTCAATCCTGGTATTTAAAATAAAGCTACAGAAGCTATTAAGCCCCTAGATCTAATTACTTTATAGGAAACACTGGGAAAGAGGAATTCTGACGGGGAAACTACTGTACAGAAATATCTGGTTTCTTTAACAACACTGCAAGAGCTGAGGGAGAACCTGTGGTTTATAAAATTTAAGCATTCACCATCTACAATGGACCTTGTTTGGATCCAGATGCAAGTTGCAAAAATTTTATAGGACACTTGGATTAAGTGTGAACACAGATTGGATGTGATACTAAGGAACTGACCATAGTTGTTAATTGCTGAAGTTGGATGATGGGACAAGAGGGTTCATTATATTTTACTACATGTTTTTTGGAAAAATTTAATAGATTTTTTAGGTTCAAAAAGGCTGAAACCAAGCAAGGGAAAGCTGGTGAGGGTAAATGTACTCTTTTATCTGCTCCAACTCACCAGTAGAATATCAAATCCCCCTCAGGCGCTAGCTTGCCATAAGATTCTTTGAAAAGGGAGAGATACAGAAGGAATTTTTTGTTCTTAATGCTCACCCTAGGATATTCTTTTCCATTGATTTTTAGAGGGGGGGCATCAATGTGAGAGAGATACATATCAATTGGTTGCCTGAAGGGAGGAAACAGGAATTTTTAAAGAGCCCTAGAGAGTCAAATATTCCCTTTTATCACCCACCTAATCAAGGTTTGGGAAGCCTGGGCAACTGGGAAATAAGGGAATTAAGAGGTAAATTTTTCAAAAGACCCCATGTAAATTTTGCTTAATCTCTGCTAAATTAGAAAGTACCTGCCTAAAGCTAGGAGTGAATTAGGGAAAGAATCTCTACCCTCAGGGAACTGGGGCCAGGTGGGGCTGCTGGCTTTTGAAGCTGTTTGCTTCTCTGAGGAGACAGGAGACCTGGGGTTAACTTGAGTCAGGATTAGGGACTGGATGTGGATGGCCTTGGAGGGGGCCTAACAATTGAGACCAAGACAAGGGAAGAAGTCTTGAGAGAGTTCATGACAGAAAATTCTACTCAAAGCAGGCAGTGTAAGACATGGGAAGGGCAGTCCCACCAGTGTCCGTCCGTCCCCCGCCACCCCAAATCAACACTTAGCCAGCTACTCCACTCTACAGAGTTTATTGGGTCTATAACTGGATGAAGTCACACGTGTACAAAATGAAGCTCACCATCCCAAAGCAGAATAGGGATTGAGGGCTAGGGATCCATTACTAGCTGTTGGGGGAGCTCCGAGGTGAGGGGCAGCCAATCCTCCCACTTGAGAGATGTGGACGGAGGGGAGGGGAGGAGAAGAAGCCCACCTGGCTTTGGACACAGAACTCATCAAGCCTGGCATTGGGCCAGGACAGACAGATGGGTGAAGCAGGAGCCCCAGAAACCACCCAGCCCAGGGAGGCCAGGGACAACTCCACCAGTCCTGCTTGCGATGTGGTTGGTCCAGACCTAGACTCAGGGGCTGGTGCAAAGGGAAGGCAGCAAAGCAGGAGGGAGGAGACACTGATGTGTGGTGGCTGGGGCACTTGGACCTGTGGAAGAAGGTGGGTGGAGAGGCAGGCTGGCTGCCACCAGGCAGCTAGCAGCGGGTCTCATAAATGCCGCTGCGGCCAATGTACCGCACCCATTTGATGACATCATGGTCGCTGTAGTTCAGCTTCGGTTCAAACACCTTCAAGTAGCGCACCTTGAGGCCAGAGGGTGCAAATGGCACCTGGGCAGGGAACAGCTCCAGTTAGGAATATGGCCTTCCTGTCATAGCCTCTCTCTTCTGGGAAGTTCTGTAGCCCTGCCCTACCTTTATCTCTCTCTACTAAGGTGACTGATTGGGGTCCTGAAAGAAGCTGGGGTAGTGAGGAGTCTTCTAAGAGGTTACTAAAGAAGAAAGCATATCCAAGAGTAACCAGTAATCACTTAGGTTTGAAGTCAAGCCCTGCCTGTGATAACTTGAATCAATTCCTTTAATCTGCAGAAAGCAGCAACCAAAGACCTGCCTTAGAACATACTTATCCTGCTCAATATTATGGACTTAAAAAAATAAGGTGGAGAAAATTGTATGTTTAACATATAATCTGCACAAAACAAAGTCAGCCCATTTTCCTCTATAAACAAACTTGGTCTTATCTGGCATTCAAGCAATCTAAAATTTTCCAAAGAATTATCTTACAACAAGCCAAAAGAAGTCAAAGATTTTTGTTAGTGTGAATAGCAATTTCTAGTTGGAGACCTGAAGGGGGAAGAAATGGATCTATGAATTAGTCATTTCCCCTCTCTAAGCCTGTTTCCTCATCCACAGGTAGTACGGTATAGAGGTTGATCTAAATGATCTCTAAGATTTTTCCTAGCATACCATGCTATGGCTCTAGGCTCCTCCTCTGCCATACCTCAAAGTTCATGGAAATGGGGGGTCGAGCCCATTTCTTCTTGTCGTTGGTGGGCAGTAGTTCAATCTCTGCACTGATCTGTGATTCCTTCATGCCTGCCATGCGCTTGATCCTGGGAACACAGAAGCAATGGGCAGCAGGTGCCCCTGGTAGCTTGGAGGAATTTCAAAGGGGTGAGGGGAAAGAACCCAGAAGCTTGTGGGAGGTACTAGGACAAGAAAATGTTGTGAGGACCTTGATAACCACTTGCTATGGAATCTTGGGTCTGCTATTCCTTTAGCACTGTAGGCTGCAGTTTCTGCTGAGATACATGGGCATGCCATCCCTTACTGTTTACTTCACAGACATATTACAAGGGCAAATGGGAAAACAGTGAAGCATCTTGATAACTAAATGTAGGCATGCACCCAAGTGCAAACACGCAGACTCACAAAGAAGTATAGGGTGAGAGCAAGTAGAAGCTACTAGAGAAGCAAATAGGCATGCCCCTCCCCCCCAAAACACATACACACTCAGAGGACAAAAGGTAAAACTGAACAAGAGGGTACACAGAGGCTTCTTAAGCCCTTTTGTTGTTTCATGAAGGACTGACTCACTTCCACACGATGGCGTTCTCACTGGCCTTATACTTGGCCTTCCCCTTCATGCAGATCACCTGCACCCCGCTTGTGTTGAGTGGGGTTGGGATCCTCACCTAGAAGTGACACATCTGTCAGGGAGCTTTGTCAAGCCCTGCTATCAGCTTCCTTTATTCCTGAAGGTAAGTGCTTTTTCCTCCCAAGTCCCTTGTCCTCACCTCAATCTTCTGAGCCAGTAGTGAGGGCTTAAAGTTGGACTTGATGACCACCTTGACCTCAAGCTTGGTTCGCCCCACTTCCCGCACCAGCGGGATCACCCGGAAAGGAAGGATGATGTCCTTGGTGGTGCGATACCTTTAGGAGTAGGGAGTAAGGTTGACATAGCAAAACCTGTCCTCTTCCCTCTTCCCACTTTCTGCCCTTGCCTCCTCAAACCCCACCCAATGGCACCTCATTAGCTCAAACTCTCCATCTGGTGGGATGAAGCTGATGCTCCTTTCAGAGTCAAACTTGCTGAGTCGCACACACTGGTGGAAGGTGCAGTCATCAATGGCAATTGATTGCTTCCCGCTGCAAGAAGAGGTAGAAAATCTCATTGGCACAGGGGAGTGGCAGGAGAGTCAGGATGGAAGTCTATTCCGCCCACAAAGACTGCAAGCGCCTGGGTGAAGTTTCCACTATACACTATCAAAAGCTGAAAGGATGCAGCTTTCTGACTTAGGAGTCCCTGCCCCAGAATTAGGGATGAGTGGAAGCTTTGTAAGCTCATCACCTTTTGAGAGCTCTGCTGCTTGGGACCTAGAGGTTTCAGGCACACTGGGAAGAGGACATCAGTATATACAGAAGAGCCTTGGTCCTGGGACCAAATAAAGAGGCTTACTCTCTGAGTAGGATGAGGACAATCCCCTCATCTCTCTCAAGCCGATGTCAAGAGCAACTACCAAGCACCCCCTTGGGAGGAGGGAGTATGCATTACTGCAGAAATGATGTCCAGAAAGAATCTATGATTCAGCAGGCCCCCCTCAGCCCTCCAAGATCTACCCTCTCCCACCAGCTCCCCTGCCTCAAGCACCTCTTGCTTGTTTCATCAGCTGTGCCTTTGCCTTGCTTCTCAATTACAATCTTGTCATTCATTCCAAACTTGCACTCAGGCATGCCACTCAGGTAGCTCTTCATCACCACCCGGCCTGACACATGGGCGCTCAGCACCTGCCCTAGTGATGGACAGACAAATGGAAAAGCTGAGTCAGGGCCAGGACCTTGCCACAGTCCCCCTCCAGCTTCAT